ATTCGGTCTGTAACCGTACAAGTAATTTTCAAAATCGGACAAGCGCGAAGTGGGAGTCGAATTTGTTAATCACAAGTATGATTAAAGACAGAATTGGACGACACAAAGTCCTGTTACCCATTAATCATAACCGTTACAATTTCAGAAAACATCAAATACGTTTAGGACAAATATATCTAGTAGAGGCAATGTCTAAGTAAAAAATTCCTCAATTTTTGAAGTTTCGCTTTTTTTTTTTCGTATAAGTGGTTAACGCAATGGTTATTGTGATCAATTCTCCGACTGATGGATTTAGCTGAAAGGACTAAGTATGATTGGCTGCTTTATGAGTCCGATTACAGGTGTCCGATTGTAACCAACTGTCCGATTACAACTGTATAGAATGATGAATGAAAAATAAAGCAGTTAATGCACCAATCACATTTGAGGAAATTGTAATGATTAAGATTAAACCACAAAAGGGGCCCTGACCCCTTATAGTGACTGGCTCCTAATTTGTCCTAATAGAATATCAATCCTCCTTGAATCAAAAATTAAGATCACGAGAAAAAGGAAATGATCACCAATTTAGGAAGCTCCTGATTGTCAAACAGATTATTCTTGTCAGTACCAGAGGAAATGAGAAGAGAACAGTGTGGAGAAAATGAATACCAATGTGAGAGTGTAAAGGGATGAGAAACACTCATATTGAGCAGTTTGTTATTTACACAATTGATTTATGAAATTTATTTTACTGGCTTTTAAACTGGAACTTCGATTTTTTTAGCTGTGGCCCAGCAGGCTAGCTATGAAATGAACAAGAATCCTCGAGGATTGTGCGTCATCGTGAATAACGTCGACTTCCAGAACAAGGACCTGAATCGACCAGGAGCCGAAATAGACGAACGTAGCCTCCAATTTCTATTCAAGACGCTTCTCTTTGAAGTGATTATCCGGAGAGATTTGACGAAACACGAGTTGGAGAAAGTGGCACAGGATTTTGGAGAAGCAAATCACGAAGCGTATAACGCGTTTGTATTCATCGTCATGTCGCATGGAGGAGATCGCGATTGCATCTTGGGAGTCGACGGGAGGGAGACAAACGTGAAGAATTTGATGTCCGAGTTCCGTGAGAACAAGTGTCCGTCACTTAAGCATAAACCCAAAGTATTCATCATCCAAACTTGCAGAGGATGTCGAGGAGACGCTGATAATTCAATGCCCTCATCTGCTAATGATATCAGTTTACAGGTGGTTACAACGTCGTCACGGGAACAGAAAAGCTCCCAGCCATGTGGTACTGCATTCAGTACTGACTCCACCCTCCCACGGAGTGTGTTTCCACCGGAAGCTGACTTTGTCTTGGCCTTCGCCACCGCGCCCGGTTACGTATCATATCGAGATCCGCATCATGGCGCCCGGTTCATACAGGTAAGAAATTGCCAAAACTAAAGCAACATGTTATTTCGATTCAAATGCGAACAGCGTAAATTAGCCACTGTAAAGAGTTTCAAAGCTGACGTTTCGAACGTTAGCTATAGCCCTTATAGCCCGGCCAATTTACGTTATCAACTCAGTTGATAATACTTGATTACCCTGTTATACTCTCCAACCGCAGCAACACCACAGTTTCTTCAGAAACTTACCTCCTTTATTCACTGATCTACCACTGTCGAGCACCAGCTCCATTTTGAATTTGGCGCTAGTTCATTGAGCTAAGAGTGTTTGAGGTAATCATAGTCTCCTAAGAGAGAAGGAGTAGGAGGAGTAGGAGACCTAGAAATGGGTAACTCGCTCCAACAAAGTAAGCGGTCAGACAATAAGCGATGCTCTGTGGATGTAAGGCGAGGTATTTTTTATTGAGAATTTTACTGTATTTTTACTTCATAAGAGCGGTCGCAAATATTCCCGTACAAACTCTTATATTTTCGCCATAACGCTTATTATTCAAGATGATCATGTCACAGTTGGAGCCTGGGCTGCCTGTGGGCTGACTCTACCAAAGGTCATTTTAAAGGTCATTTCATTTTCCACACAAAATATCCTTTTGTCAACCTAGCTTGGCCTTCATTATAATTTTCGTCTCAAGTTTCTAAGATCTTTGGCTCATTTCGTCCGATAACGACTTCTTCTGCTAGAATGGCGATGTTCCTCATTTTGTTGTCCTTAATTATTGCAATAGGATTTAGTCGAAGTGATCAACAAATATCATCGTCGTCATCACTTCCTTGAGATCTTGACGGAAGTCACTAGACTGGTAGTGAAGCGTGGTAACTCTGTCCAGGTTCCCGCCCCTATGGATACCTTAACTAAATTTCTGTACTTGTGAGAGGGGACTGAGTCGAGTAATTTACTGTTAACTGCTCCTACGGATACCTTGACTGAATTTCTGTACTTGTGAGAGAGGAGTGAGCCGAGCAATTTATTTTTAACCATGGCGTCGTTTATACTGTTATTATGTTAGAGATTTAGAACGAAAATTATTGAATAGTTCAATGTTTGTGGACACGATTGTTACCCAATAAGAGAAGATGCCTCATCCTTTCTTGAATCAAATTGGTTCGAATAAAAAAAATAAAATAAAATAAAAATAGATGACTGGAGGCTTTTTTCTTTTGAATTACAAACGACTTGATTTTAATATGGTAGATGTCTTTTTCATCTGTTTACGATTTTATTTTCTTATTTCAAGTATAGGAATTATTGTAGAGAGTTTTCTCTAAACGTTTTCATTTTTTTCCTAACTGCTTAGACTATGATCTTTGAGGTATTTCAACGTAAAGCACCATGGTACCGTTGAAAATTAGAAATTCTAATTTATCACCCCTAATTATCCATCTTGACGTTACCTTCTGGATGGGAGTTTAGGATAAACTCAAAGAGTTGTAAGATAGTCCTAAGAAATATTTCATTCTGCGACAGAACGTAGAAAACGATATGTGAAAAGTGAGAGAGTTGTTACTTCCACTCTAAAAAGAACTGAAGTTGATTAACATACTTGAAACATGTCTGTTAGTATTTTGCTGTATGTCCAGGAGTATTTGCTTTTTAAAAAGTTGTTACTCAGTGACAGTTCTTTCTACCTTGATAGCAAGCGAAAAACAAATCCTGGAAGAAACAAGAAAATAGCAATAGTAAACCTCAAAACACTAAAAAGCAGACCTTACAAAGTTTAATTGAATAAGCGTAAATATTGTAAACTTTGTATACTGTTGAATTTAATGTGTATAGTTTGGTCACGAGGAAAATAAAGTGACATTAAATGTTTGTTATGTGTCAAATGTTTTCATCCTGTAACTTCCATTAAATAGCCGATTTTGCCCCAGGAGAGATCAGTAATATACTTTGGGAATCCTTAGAGGTCTTAAGCCGCTTTGAACGAGCTAGATCGCATGATGTAAATGACCCGAGGCATCTCATCATTTCAGATTTCAAATATTTATAGCAGAACGACCGATTGTGCCGATTAATCTCTGGAATCCAGAATGAGCTCGTAAAGTGGTTAACTTTAGCTTAGTGATCTTCCAGATGCAAATATAGAATAGCCTGTTGAAAGATATGCTAGAAGGATCGTGACATAACTTAGAACGCTTTTGAGAAAGGAAATTTCTTCAAGTACACGAACAGGCCATTTTAGCTCCGCTTTGCAACATCATTGCTTGAAAACATTAGCCGTAATTGACCCTTTCCAGAAAACTTGAAAGGAAACACTTTGTGATAATGTCTGGATGTTTTCTCACAAATTGACAGGCAGTTTACATGTTAAAACTTTCACTCAATAAAAAAAAATACAAACAACAGTAAAAACAATTCCAGTTTATCGTTGTTAATGCTCTATTTCCGGCCGCATCGATCCCTTCCGTAAATCACACTTCCTGTGTGGAGTCTATTGTTTTCCTATCAATCATTAAAAAAAATTGAATTATTTTTTTCTACAAGAGGTCATTATTTAGCGACCATACCGCAGTCAAAGAGCAAAAATGACCCTGGGCACGAGATTGAAGCCGGCCCAAGAAAGAGAGGAACCTGGCGAATAGTCTTGCTTGTTTTGGTCTTCGAAGCCGCCATCTTGAAGGCTGTAGCCCAAATAAGAAACATTGAACAGGCGACAAAAAGGTATGTTCAAACAGTTGTGGTAAGATGTTTTTAAACGATGTAAGAATTTTCGTAGCAAATTAAAATATTACCATAAGCAGTTTCTAAAGGGTTGATGTTGGACTTTTTACAGTAAATTAAAATATTATCATAGGCAGTTTCTAATGTTTACTCTGAAACGTGTTTTGGAAAAACAGAAGCAGCAGTTCGCAACTAGAAGATTTGTTGGACTTTGGCCAATTCTGATTCACCGAGCTTATGGGCCTAAATTTTTCCAACTGGAGAAGTCAATAAATATAAATATTACTCATGATTACCTAGCGAGCAGTGAAAACGAACCGTACGCGTGTGGCCGGGCGAGATCATATTTATTTGATGTTTCGTCATGTTTCGACATTCAATGATCATTGGACCGTTCCTCGATTGATTGAAATGTTACCCGAAGCGTTTCTTGATTTTGACTCTAAAGCAGGTTAAAACTGAAACAAGACAGTATTCGTAACTTCAGACTGATTTGATGGATTGTGGCTAATTTTGATCCCGCCGAGCTGAGGGCCTAAATTTCTCCTTCAGGAATAATCAATCACTAAACGAAATCTTTTTCGCAATCACCATTCGCTTTAGTTGGCAAGGTTTTAAAACGAGCCAGATGGCGAAATCATATTTATTTGATAGCTAACATCCTCAGAATTACATGTGTCACGAGGAGCCTCATTATTGCTGAATTATCTGTTTGTTAGTTCGCTTCAAGTGGTCAGAATCCTAGAATTTTTACGCTGACGTGGTGACGGAAAGTGACAATTTAACAAGGAAGCAGGGAACATAAAATTGCTGTCTAGTCATATATAGAAAACGATGCACATCATACCTTTTGCTTTAAAAGTATGTGCTCTTAATATGCGATATTAATTCCGAGCAGGATATTTCGTTATTCGTAGACACGTATTTCCGCTTTGGGATAGTTTTGAGGAGTATCAGTCATAAGAAAAGTAACAATTGTATGTGATGCGAATAAAAATACTGAGTTATTTAGCCACGGGAAGGAAAAATGGATCATGGTAGTGTTTTAGTTTTTGCACGTAAATCACAGGCGAAAGAACAACTCAATGATTCAAGGCATGTATCCCGTTTTTTCTTCCTTCGTTTTACCTTAAGAGAGTTACAAAGTAGAGTAAAATTTCATTTCGAAATTGCTTTTTTGGGTGATATTTCATGCATATCACATATGCAAATATATAATTAGGGGTTTTCCCGTGACCCTTCGCTTTTTATTGCCTCATTTCAGTTTTTAGAAATTGATTATTCCGGATGGACAGTTCTTCAAGAAATTTCTTTTAGCGTGAAAGTTTTATTTGCCTATCTTTTTCCGTTTCTATTCAAACTAACGAATTTTTTCGAGAAATTTTGTTATTCTTAGTGCTTAATTAATGACCGGAACTGATCCTCGTTGTTGCGTTGCATTATAAATGTAAGAATTTATAGTTTAACCATGATGTTTACATTAGCAGCAAACAGGAAAACACTCTGGATGGCTTATACTAATATATTATTTCCATTCATTTTCAATGTTTAAATAAGTCCAAAAGACACCTATAAAGAAAATTTTTAATAGATGCCAATTTTGTCTTTTAACACAAGGCAGCATCTCCCACCCGCTAGGGGATGGGAAAAGAACAAAAAAAGCCTCGGTCATTCGGATTACGAAGCGCTTTTATGTAGCAGCTTCATTATATGCTGTGTAACTGAGATTTGTTAAATAACTACGTTGCAATTCGTCTCTACTGTGAATTACACTACATGCATTCCTTCTTTATTTGCGCAATCCGTGGGGCGTTCCAATAAAAACCGGCGGCTTCTTGTAAACCCTGGAAGGCAAAGTAAGCTTTCTAGAGTTCGTGCATCGCTAGAAGAAAATTTTTGCTTTTATTCCTCACCGATTTCTATTGACCTTTTAATGTTGACGCTGATTGGATCGTTTGACAATGAAAGTTTTCTTGAAGCATTTTCTCATAGTTCATGGCAAATAAACACATGCACTAGAAGTAAATTAATGGGAAATTACAACACCTGCTGAGGAGCGTGGGGTGGAAGGTAGCTAAGGAAAGAAAATTTTATTTTATTTCAAAGCATTTAAACGTTTTACTCTCTAATTCATGAACTTGGTTTCTAACAACTTGACCATTCCAATGTCCTTCCAATTACAGTACCATACAAAAAAAAAAAAGTTCAATTCAACTGAAATAAGTGCATAAATCAGGCTTCATGACAATAACTCAGCTTCTGTTAACCTCGGAGAGCATAGATTAAACACATATAAGAAATGTTTTTGTTATCTTTTTCTAAATCACCCCCATTCCAGTTGGGAATCAGTTCCCTTACCTACGTCGTGAATGCTTAAAACGCATCGGGGTTCAAATAGTAGACACTAGTTCTTGTTACCCGTTTGGATCCAAGACAGTCTGACAGTAGTCGAAATTCGTCGGTAACTAAAAATGTCAAGTAAAAAGTTTCTTGTACTTTTGTTTACATACTCTTGTATTATCATATTTTATTTATTCGTACAACTCTTAGACTTTTATGGTAGGATTGGCCATTCTAAGTTGTGAACCATAAAACAAATCTGAGCTTAAAAATGAAACTGACACAATATACAACGTGTTAAAAGTAAGAGAGTAGTTACTGCCACTTTTGATTCCGCCGAGCAGGGTGCCTAAATTTCTCCTTCAGGAACAATCAATAGCTGAACGAAATCTTTCTCGCAATTACCATTCGCTTAGTTGGCCACGTATTAAAACGAGCCAGATGACGATACTTTGATTATTTGTTTGATAATTAACATCTTCAGAATTACATGTGTCACCAGGAGCCTCACTATTGCTGAATTGTCTGTTTATTAGTTTGCTTTGAGCGGTCAGAATCCTAAAATTTTACACTGACGGTGTAACGTAAATTTACAATTTAATAAGCAAGCAGGGAACATGAAATTTCTGTTTAATCAAATGTAGAAAACGATGCACATCATACCTTTTTGCTTTAAAAGGATGTGCTCATAATAGGCGGTTGTGATATTAATTCCGAGCAAGATACTTCTTTATTTGTAGACACGTATTTTTGCTTTGGGATAGTTTTGAGGAGTATCTGTCACGAGAAAAGTAACAATTGTGCTTATATCGTTCCAAATTAGACAGAATGAGGAAAGTGATGGTTGTTATGAAATGAAAGCTGTATTGTGGA